GAGACCACAGAAACAGTCAGTTCCTCCATTCTTGCTGCTAAAGGATCCAAGACTCCTCACTGCAGACCCTACAGTGACAATCCCACAAAAATGGGAGTCAGGCCCACTGGGGCTGGACAGAGATGGACTCCCAGTCAAAGCTGAGCCCAACCTCAGCATTCACGATTTCAAACCCCATTACCTGCTTTTCTGCAGGGGCCTTTTGATCATAATAACTCTTCACTAGGTAAAGTGAGAGTGGTAAGATTCACCTAGTCTTCAGAGACAGCTGGCCTCTTTGTGGCTCATTTTTATCTATCTAATGATTTTCCAATTTTAGCTAGCAGTGCTAGGGAGCTGCAATAGCCCCAAGTCTTTGATGGGATTTCTCTGAGTAAAACTCAAAAGAAAAGTATGTATTTGTAAGTACAAAGGTGCAGGTTGGTCTCCACCAGACCAATTCTTTTTGCATTCATCCTTCTAAGCCATGGATTAAAGCATGCAAATATGTGCTGGAGTTGAAGTTTCATGGAAGGAAAACAACCATCCCCCAGGGACAGTGAAATGTATGATCCTTAAGGTCAAATTCCAAGAGGGGATCGTTCGTGCCCCTTGCTCACCCAATATTCCTGTTACCCCAAATTAACCATAGCTTCCCAGTTCTGGCATCTCTTCCAGTCTGTGATGCCATTAATTATAAGAAACTATTATTTTAAGTAGTTTCTTAAGAAACCATGAACCAAGAAGAAAGAAAATTTGCCACTAATTAAATTTTGAAAAATATGGAGAAACATGATATGCTGTTTCAGGCCACTAGATCTTGTTTCTTTCCTGGGAAAGAGTGTCTTTTCTCCCACCTGTTCTGCCACCCGTTCTCCGAAAAAATCTCACCAGATGTTTGATGGGTATTTACAGTATAGTTTGTGTGCATTCAGGAAGCATACTAGAAGCCCCTGTGCACAGGGGTCACATTCTGTTGGTCTGGGATCACCAAAGCCTAGCAGTTTCTTGGCAAATTTCTTGTAACTATTGGTTGGATGCACACTTCCTTTATTAAAGGCAATGTTGGTAGATTCCTCTGATATTCAGGCAATCTATATATGGCTTTAGATTCCTAGAGGCAGAAAAGAAGGAAGCTGTCAGAGTTGCTCTATCTATGCATGTAGTCTTGCATAGTTTTTCCCACGCACAAGTTGAGGAAGAGGCAGTGCTATTCTCCCCAGGTGCAGAGAGGGATTCTGAGAGGAAATCACAGGGGGATGAGTGTTTCCTTTCACTCATCCATGTGGTAAATGTATGTGGAGCTCTTACCCAAACACAGCACTAGATCTGGAGTGGAAGAAAGTTACTGACTTTGCTCAGAGCAGCTCCTAATACCAGTCCAATGTGATGAGTACAGTTGGCCCTCAGTATCAGTGGATACTAATTCTGTGGGTTCAGCAGACCTTGGATCAAAAATATTCAAGAGCAGGGCATGGTGGTACATGCCTGTAATCTTAGCACTCTTCAAAGCTGAGGCAGGAGGACTGCAAGTTTTAGCCCAGTCTGGGCAACTTAGTGATTTAATGAGATTCTGTCTTAAAATTAAAAAAAAAAAAAAAAAAAAAAAAAAAAAGAATTAAAGGGTTGGGGATGTAGCTCAGGGCAAAGGCTCTGGGTTTAATTAAAAAACAAAAAACTCAGTATTAAAACAACTTTTTGAAAAATACTTTCTACACTGAACATGCACAGACTTTTTTCTTGTCATTATTCCCTAAGTAATAGACTCATACCACATTTATATCATGATGAACATTATAAGTAACCTGGAGAGGACTTAAAGTCTAAGGAAGAATGTGTGTGGGTGATATGTTTATGATACTGAGATATCTAATATAAGGGACTTGAACATCTGTATATTTTGGTACTTTGGGGTGGGGAGGTCCTGGAATGAACCCTCCATCAATATAAAGGGATGATGACTACATACTGCTGGGACAAGGGACAAGAGGGTCCCATGTATTCTGATTGGAGACAGAATATGATGTTTCACAAGGGGCATGGGTTTTGAGAACTTTGAATGATTCACGGGCAACCATCAGGAAAGAAGGAGAATGTAGAAAATAATATATAAGAGCCAGTGCCTTTTGAAGGGGTGGTAGAAATGAAATGAACTCACTACACAATAGGGGGTTCCTCTCTGAAGGGATTAACATGCTCATTTCTGATCCCTCCAAATATTCAGTGCATAGAGGGCTGATTTTGGGGGTGTTTTTTTTTTGGTACCGGGGATCGAACTCAGGACCTTGCACTTGCAAGGCAGGCACCGGAACCACTCAGCTAAATCTCCAGCTGGAGGGCTGGTATTTTTGATGATTCATTGCATTCTGTTTGCCAGTATCTTGTTGAGGACTTTCATTTGTGTTCATTAAACAGATTAGCATGTAATTGTCATTTTTAGTTGGGTCCTTGTCTGGTTTTGGAATCAGATTAATGTTAGCTTCCAGGAATTAGTTTGGAAGTACTCATTTCATTTCAATTTTATTGAAGAGTTTGAAGAGTGTTGGATTATATGCTCCCTGAAGGTCTTGTAGAATTCAGTGGTGAATACATCAGGTCTTGGCTGTTCTTAGTTGGAAGGTTTAGTTTTATTACTGTATCAATTTCATTGCCTCCCATTGGATTGATTATTCAGGGATTTTATGTCTTCTTAGTTCAGATTTGGTAATTCATATGTGTCTTGTAATCTGTCCATTTCTTCAAGATTTTCCAATTTGTTGAAGTATAACTTTTCAAAGTAGCTACTAATAATCTTCTGGATTTCTGTGATGTCCATTGTGATTTCACCTTTTTAATTTCTAATTGCATTGACGTGGATCTTCTCTTTCCTTCTTTTGCTAAGTTTGGCTAAGAGATTATCTATTTTGTTTATTCTTTCAAAGAACTACCTCTTTGATCAATTGATTCTTTGTATTTTTTAATTTTAATTTTGTTAATTTACTCTCTGATCTTTATGATTTCCTTCCCTCTTCTAGGTTGGGTTTGGAGTGTTCCTGTTTTTCTAGTACTTTGAGGTGCTTCACTACCTTACTTACTTGGGATTGCTCTGTTCTCCTATTGTGAACATTCCCAATCGAAAAAACTTCCCTCTTAGGGTTCTTTTCATTGTGTCCTATAGGTTCTGATGTATTATACTGGCATTAGGGTTTGGTTTTAGGAATTGTTTAATTTCCTCCTTGATTTCTTCTGTAACCCAATGAGTACATTCGGGTGTGTATTAGTTAATGTCCAGGTGTTTGTCCAGATTTTTAAAAAAAAATCTGTGGGTTTTTTTGCAGTTGATTTCTAGTTTCACTGTGCTGTGATTTCATAGCATACATGGAATGATTTTGATTATTTTGTATTTATTTAGACAGACTTTATGGACTAGTATATCTATCTTGGTCGAAGTTCTGTGTGCTTCTGGAAGAATGTGTATTCTGTTGTAATAGGATACAACACTGTAGATATCTATTAAGTCTATTTGTTCAAATATATGGTTCAGCCCTGATATTTCTTTAATTTTTTGCTTACTTGATCTATTTGTACAAATAGAACCCTCTGTGATTGTGTTGGTTTTTATTTGATCTTTTATATCCAGTAGTATTTGTTTTATGAAATTAGGTGCACTGATATATAGTGCATATATATTTATAATTGCTATCTCTTCCTGTTGAGTTGTTACATCAATTTGTAGTGACCTTCTTTGCCTTTTCTTATAATATTTAGCTTGAAGTTTATAGAAATGCCCAGTTGCATGTTTAATTTGGTATCAGCAACCTTCCCTCCAGGGTCTTGGTGTGAATTTGATTTTGATGATATTGTGTACATGAGTGAGGTCCCCAGCTTCTTGAGCAGATGGATAGTAAGGAGTCTAAAGCTGGGTCCAGACATCTGGGACTTCCTGTGTTCATAAAGTTTCTACTTAACTTCATGATGGAGCTTCTTCCTTTGGCTTGTTAGAAATCTGCTGACAAGTGCCCACTTTTCTTATTGCAATTGGATACAATAATTTCCTCTCACAAACTTATAGAACTTCGACCAACTACAGTACTTATGTATGGAAAAAAAGTATTCTTTACCTTTGGAAAAAGGACATCTGGGCTTCCCTATCAATTCCATAGGTCAAGGCTTAAATAAAAACTTCTAGAAATTTCAGCCTAGCAGTTCTGGACATGCAAACTTATCACATACAGAATGAGGGGAAGGAATATATTCCTAATTTAATCTAAATTTTCTTTCAGACACTTACTGTATTGGTACTTGTTTTCAACAATTTTTTTGTAGCTTGAAGTAAAATAATATTTTACAACAGTGTGATTTCAAAGGCACACTCAATTGCATTATTATTGCATTTAATCATCACAGCAGTCCTTATGGGAAACATTTCATTACCTGCTTTATAGGGAGGAAACCAAGGCTCAGGAAAACTGGATGGCCAATCCAAGGTTACAAGGTCAGGCTCCATAGTGTGTCTTTCAGACAATTTCCACCATTAACTGTTCCAAAATTAAAAATCTAGCCCTGAGTCATGAGCTGAAATTATGTAAGATAGGAATGATGCTATTCATAATGAAGCCATGTACTAAAGAAGGGAAGGAAAATGGAGAAAAGAGAAGCTGATATCTAGCTTCTACTCTGAATAGGCTGTTTTATTTGCACTATATCATTTAAACATCATCTCTTTCTCCCACATGACTAAAAAGAAATAGAAATTAAGGAAAATTAAATTACTCCCCCAAAGTCACAAAAATCACAAGTGACAAAACTGGTTTGATCACCCCACTTTCTGACCCCCAGACCCACAATCTTCTCACAGCCCTTCACATTTTGTGACAACTCAGTGCATTGATGCACACAGAGGATTCTTAAAGGCAAAAAGCAAAGAAAAGCTCTGTTTTGGTGAGGCTTGCAGTGTCAAAGACATATGCACCCTTTCCTTCCCTGTCCCCCCACTCCAGCTTCCTGTGGACATTACTCACCTATTCTTCTGCTCCCTGTAGGGTGTGTGTTGGTGATGTCTGTCATCACACAGCTGGCTCAAGTTCACAACTCTACAGTGGAGGCCTCAATGGAGAGGCTGTGCAGCTACTTGCCTGGTAAGTATGGAAGCATCTCACTGCTGTATCTGCTTGCCCTCTCACTCATGAGTCAGCATGAGTGTGTCTATATGTCCCACATGTGCTTATGGGACAGTCTGGATTTTCTTATTTCTGTGGGTTGATATTCTGATGGGGCTCATAGAAATTAAAATAAAAATAATAGGACTCTAGGCAGTTTCTCCCTGACATTCATTTTTCATCATGGCAGAATGAAATTGCTGTGGACAATAGGTAATAAAATGTTGAATGGCAAATTGTCATTTTATGGGTCACATTAATAATGATTTGCCTAACAAATGATATGATGCCTTAAGTACTAAGAAGTCAGAATAATAAATAATGTCAATAATTTCATATTTACTTGAATACACATACCTATGAAAACAAAGCTTTAGGCTGGTAAGACAACTGGCCTTAAAACCCCAAATGGGAAAATAATCTGGAACATTCCATTGGTGTCACCTAGATCTCCACAGAGTCCTTTATCCACCATTCAAAAGAATGAAAGGATCAGTGGCTCAAGAAACTTGTACATTTATTTTCCAACCTTAAAGAAGGAAAAATCTATTTTCTTTATAGAATACTGTTGCATGAACAGTGGTAATGAATAAACATTTTAAGAATCAAATTTTCTTTCACTTAGTGCTAGTTCACCAAAGATCCTACATTATGTTTTCTGTTAAGTAAGCTGGCTGGACCAATGGTCATTATATCTTTGATTTATATAACACTGTGCCAAATAGCACCAAAGAATTTTCAGAGAATTTATTGTATGCAATATGGCTTCACATGATAAAATGTTCAGAATTCAAAAATAAAGACCAGGAAAGGACAACACACAAACATTTGTGCTTACAACATTGCACATTGATCATTGTAAAGATTTTGACATATTTACATCATCTTTCTTTTAGGAAAGTAAAGTATAGCATATAAATTTTAAACACCTTTGACTTGCCCCTACCTCCAGTTCCATTTCCCTTCCACGTCCCTATAAGGAAGCACTGACTTTGAACGTAATAATTAATGTTTTTCTCAAATTGTGTACTCACATATTCATTTGTATAAATCCATAAACAACATAATTTTTTAGTCTTTTCTGGGTAAAACAAATATAGAAAACAGCACAATGTAAAGCTATTGAAATGTGAACACTGATAGAATAATGTCCTGAATTTTATGGTAATCGTTTCCTATGCATTTTATATTTTTATCACCCTAGTGAGCATCCCTAGATACCAGTCCTGCCAAGTTTTTGCAGTTTTGATGTGCTTTCTAAATCTATTTTAATCTACAACTTTTTTATATCCTCTTTTCCTTATAGTGGAAAATGACCTCCAGAGTTTCTCACAGTCTAGACTATACTGATTACATCCCTGTGGCATAAATGAATGTTCTCTTTGTCCTATATTTCCTAAACATTTACAGCTGGATCCAGAGCCTTGATTGGACTTGTTTGATTACTTTGGCAAGATTATAATAATTTCTCTCCTCTCTCTCTCTCTCTCTCTCTGTATGTGCGTGTGTGTGTGTGTGTGTGTGTGTGCGTGTGATGTTTTACCTGCTGTTGGTGCTCAGTATAACATTTATTAATTTATTGGGAGGTACAAAATTAGAATATTCTAATACATCATTTATTTTTCATTTATTAATTGAGATATGTCAGACCTTTTCCCTCATCATCATCATGCTCAAAATATTTTTGCATAGTACCTAGTGGTATAATTTATGTAGGAGCAGCCGAATAAATACTTGATTTTTTTCCCTTTACTTATCAATTTTCGGTATAATCCATTGATGATCTATTATCATTCTAAAGTAATCAACTAGTTTTCTAAAACATGCTAGTGAACTCACAAATTAAAGCACACCTGGAGGTCTTCAGTCAGTTGAAATTATTATTCTGTTGATGCTCAAATGACTCCATCTTTGGCCAGCAGAGACTCCTCAGTTTGACTCCTGAGTGAGTGGCTGTGACCTTGGACAGTTCCATCAGGAACTGGACCAGCAAGGGGTCCCAGCCTTGTCTTGTATTTATCCAGTCAGTGTCAGGCTTGGCATCAGTTATTTCTCATTGAAGCCCTGCTTTCTTTTAGTGAGAAATACTATTTCAAGGCCACCATCTGTGTGATTAGGGATACTCACGGCTCCTGACTGGTCATTCTTTCTAGGTCTTTTCTATGAACAGTGAAATATATGTATATACATTTACATGTAGAATTTCTAAGATAGAATATCTTCAGTAGTCAGCTTTCCTGTTGCTGGGACATAGTACCCAACACCGACAACTTAAAGGAAGAGAGGTTTAATTTGGCTCATGGTGTAGGGGATTTAGACCATAGTTGGCTGGCTGAAAAGCAGAAACATCATAGTAGAAGGGTCTAATGGAAGAAAGCTCTTCATCTCATAGTAGTCAGGAGGCAGAGAAAGCAATGAGGACCTGAGGAGAGAGATGAATTCTCCAAAGTGCGCCCCCACTGACCCTCCGACAAGGGCCCATCTCCTAACAGCACCTCTAACCGTGAACTCATCAATGGGCCAATTCACTGATGAGTGCAGTGCCTCCATAATCTGGTCATCTTCCAAAATCCAGCCTCTGAACACATGAGACTTTGGGGGATATTCTAATTCTAAACCGTAACAGTATCTAATGAATTCATACTGACACTTCAAGTTCAAACACAGAACTACAGAATTTTTTTAAAATCTCTTCAATTTCATATGTCTGTCTCCTTTTTTCCAAAATTCTAATTGCCAAGGACAAGGTGAATGATCAAATTAAAATATCCAGTGCTTACTCATTTACCTATTCTTCACTATACTCATATCAGTCTCAGACTATCAGTCCTAATACTACCACCATTAATATATTTCATAACTACTGAGAGCAGCTAAAATGTTTTTTGCATATGCTTTTTCCATTTCTCCACCATTTTAAATCTTTGAGCCCTCTTATCAGAGTAAATTAGCAATTACACAGACGGTCCATTCCCTTCCCTCCTTATTTAGTCTTAGTTCCTGCAGCAAGTGGATGACTGATGTTCATCCCCACCCTCGAGTGGATGTCCCTCTAGCTGAGTTGTCTGAAGTTCATGCCTCAGAAAGGCGCTCCCAGAAACAATATTCCCTGAATCCTGCATGTTGATTATAGGCTATCTCTGCCGTTATACTTGAAAGTCAGCATTTTTCTAGATATAAAAACTCTTGGCACACAATTTCTTTCCCCAAACAGCTTAAATACATTATGTAAAGCCTAATGATAATCTAATTTTTGTCCTTATAAGTCACTTACTGCTTTTGCCTAGGAGTGCAATGGGTATTCTTCTCTTTTGTTTCCCATAAAGGTTAGTCACCTACCTAGAAAATGTCTTGATGTTAATTTTGGTTTGTTGATATTTTCAAGTAAACAGTGTGCTCTTTCAATATATGGTTTCAAGTAAATATCTCCTCATTTCATGAAAGATTTTAGTATTCCTTCAGGTCCCTTGATTTGGTTTTATTCTTCTGGGATTTCTATTATCCATATATTGACTCTCTTCATTGCTTGTTTTTGGTAGAATATTTTGTTTATCTCATCATTTAGTACTTTTTATTTTGTGGTACTGGAGATTGAACCAGGGGCCTTCACACTTACCTACCTCATCCCCCCTTTTTATTTTAAGATAGGGTCTTGCTAAGTTGCCCATGCTGGACAAGAACTTAGGAACCCAGGGTACCACCATGCCCAACCTTTCATTTATTTTTTTAATCTTCAAATTGTTCCTCCTATCACCTTCTATTTCTACTACATCATGGATTATTTTCACTTGTTCTTGTGTTCATTTCAGTTTAAACTTCATTTCTTTGATAATTTTTATTCTTCCCTGAGTTCTTTCGTTCCATACCTGAGTTTTTCTAATTCTGATTTCTGCTATTCTTTCATGTCTTATATCATGTTATTAGTGCCTCGTAGCTCATTTTAAAATAATGCTATGTTTTAACCTTTTTTTGGCATGACTTCCTGGCATGCTTTGACTATCTGTAGGGATTCTATTCTGTTCCTTATTCTTTTCTTCTTATAATAACTCTGTATGGGAATTGACCTAGATACATTTCTGTTGTTCATTTTTATGTGAAATTAGTTTTCAAAAACTCTTAGAAAGAGGTGGTTCGGGGTAGCTTTTCTAAATGCCCAGAGCTCTTTCTTTTGTTGTTTCTGTGTCATGTTTAAAAATACAGGTTAGCTTGCTTTCTGAGATTCTCTGACTCCTCTCACTGTCCACTTTTATCTGGAATTCCTTTATGCTTTGTTTCTGTCCAGCTCAATTTTGATCCAAACCCAGAAGTTTCTCCTCAGTGCAGGCCCTGGAAGGAACCTTGGATGGGTCATTTTCTAGAGCTTACAGATACTCTGACTGCTTAGTGTTGCTGACCTTCAGCCCCTGGAACCCACCGGCCATTCCTGTGGGCAAAAACCCTACCAACCTCAGCTGCTTTGCTCTCATTGGCCCACTGAGCTCTCTAGCTAATATCTGGCAGCTCTGTGGTGATTCTCTTTTCTTGGGTTTGCCTCAAGTAATTGATTTCCTTTCCTTTCTTTGGTACAGATGTTGATAAGCTGCAGGTGTTGTGGTAGTGAGTAGCAGCACATCCACATCCTCACCTAAGAGGATGCTGGGGTTCTTGGAAATACTTCATTCTGCTGTTATTTTGCCTGTTTTGTCTTTAGTTATGATTTGGATCTTAAATGTCGCCCAAAAGCTCATGTATTGAAGGCATGGTCCCCAGCTGGTGGTGCTACTAGGAGGTGGTAGAAATTTGGGGGTGGGGCCTCATTGGAGGAAGTAAGTCATTGAAGTTGTGGCCAAGAAAAGTATTTGGGAGCCCTGGAATCTTCTCTCTCTGTCTCTGCTTCCCAGCTGCCAAAAGGTAAGCAGCTTTGCTGGGCCATGTGCTCCCACTAAAACCAATGGAGCTGGCTAGTTGTGGACTGAAACCAAGAACATTCCTCCTTTAAG